ACGGCGAGCAAAACTAGTGAGCCATCAGCAGGGTCGCTTACTCAGATTGATGGAGAACTTAGGTGTCTCCTGCTGAATGCATCCTGAACACTGACGGAGCCAGGTACGACATATAGAGGCAACATTTCTGCACATCCTTTCTGATATCGCGGTGTATGTTAACTCTGGTTTCTGGACATAAACATGATCTATGGTAGAATTGTGCCTAAAAATGTAGCGAAGTACCTCATTCCAAGGCAGTAAAGCAGCATGGACCGGTGATGACAAATATACTTTTACTACATATGCTCTGCAGTACATCAATCTGATCAAGGCTCTTGATCCACTGATCAACATAGGTGACAACTGACACCAATGTCTGAAGGTTCACGGATTTACCTCTGTGTTTACAAGTGTGCCATAGTTTGCCCGTACAAGGAAAACTGGAACATAGTTGTGTTTACATCTGCATCATGGTATGGAGGCTGCTATCACTCCAGAAAATAATTTGCAGCACAAACAATTCCATATTTATAGATATATGTGTTTTAGATGTCTACACATACCCCAATGAACGATGAACAGAGCTCTGCCTGTCTCATAAGGCTGGTCATAGTGGGGAGTAACTTAGACTAGTGTCTTGCATATGACACTATTCTAAGTTACTACCTTCATAATGCAAAGTAACATACTAGTAGTATCATAAATGGCTTCATTTATTAGCTCATAGACTTATCTTGTCTTGGAAAGCGTTATGTTACAGTAACATATTATGTTACCACCTCTCATTAATTACTTGCCACATAAGCAGAATTTTCTCGAAGTGCGCTATGTTACTAGCTAAGTTACTCCCACTATGACTAGCCTAAAGACCAATATATACAGCAGATTAACACCTTAGTAGTGATAGAATAAAATGCCGGCTTGTAATCCCAAGATGGACTGTTTAAAATGCATATGGACTTGTACATAACGGGGAAAACTTAACTAGCTAATCATTTCTATAAGAATTTATAGCTTTGTCCTCATGTTGCAATAAGTGATGGATGGTCCAGCCTCATTTCTCTAACCCATTGTCATGTTACCTTTGTAAGCTTACATGATACACCTAGCATTTGTTTACCTTGTGAAGTTCATCAAATACTATCAAAATGATGCAAACAAAGAACTCAAGTATAACAGAGGTTTTTTGGTTATGGGTAAAGTAGTAAAACTTCATACCAAACATTTTGGTTGAAAATAATGGTATATCCCCTATGCGCAAAGCAGCTGTGAATGCACTGAGACAGATAGCTTTAGTCTTCAAAACAACATGGATTTTCTTTTTCTTTCAAATCTACCACAATTGTTATTGCTGGTAAAAGGAAACTTGAACAATTAAAATCCACAACAGTTGCTATGGCTGGTACAAAGGGAACTTGTGTGGGCAATGTCATTTGACTTTTCAAAGTGATCTAGTGAGATGACAATTTAGGGGAAGTATGCATACCTGCTGCTGAACTGATTCATCTCACACAACTACCAAAGACATTTCAACAAACACCTTCACATCATCAATCTCTGTATATAGCAGCTACAAAGCACCGACACGTCCAGGTCCGCCCCCATGTCTGCATACAGAACGCGAGCGATACTCGCATCCTTGGAGTACCCTATTTTCTGATTTAAAACTTTTGAATAGATAGATAGATAATAAGTTGCATACTAGAGATATCTGTATAAAATGGATGCACCGAAAGATTTGAAAATGCAAATGATTTCAAACAGGGATAATGTGTTCTATCACATCCAGTTAACAAGTGAGAACAACAATTAGTAAATGAGAGCAAATAGGTTAACTGAGTAGGTCTGTCCAAATAAACGACATGCACTTGAACACCAACAGATAAGCAAACTGACCTAGACACCGAAGTTGTCCAGGCCACTGCCTCAAAAGTGGGTCTGGTCACCTGATCTAGTGACCATCCGAGGACCATTTCACGAAGCAGGGGATGTAAGGCAGACACGGCAGATAAGGGCGACTTTCAAGACTGCTGATATGCTGCACTTTCTGGGTATCCATATCATACGACAAGAGTGACCATGACCTCTCCTCCCCGCCAGTAAAGAAAACCAAATTACATGCTGGATGGATTGCAACCGACTCGTAGATCTCGGTGGGTACACGACGAGGCGTTCCTAGCAGACCCGGAAAGTCCCCGATGTGCATCAAGGTCCACTTACCACTGGCATAATCCTCGAGAACCCAAACAGATAGTTGCCAATCGTTGTCATAGTCTATGCATACAAGGTGTAAGCGCCCCCGAGACAGCCCGATGGCAGCGGGTTTATTGTCCTCCGGCATTCGGATTGCCCCCCATGTTTCTCGCTTGGTGTCCAGCGTGACGATGGAAGAAGAGTAGTAGGCACTCAAATGCAGAGTGCCATTGAAGAAGACATACCCTAAATCGTCACCAGCAAAACCAAGGTCACTACAATCACTCAGCAGGGATGTCCACTGTGCAGTTTCTGACGAATAAACCTCGAATCGACCGCTCTCCAATGGTTTCACAAACACAGCAAAGTAGGATGGAACTATTGCAGGATCGAAACAGAGACATATGTTGTTGTCCCGTGGGGGGGCGTGTGAAGCGGGCGCAGGCAGCACGGCCCAGATCTCCTCGGTCGCTGGGTTGCAGACGATGTACTCCGCCGGAGATGGCGGAGGCCTCCCGTCGGCGGAGCAGAGGAGGATGCCGTTGCAGCAGTGGATGAGCGTGACGCTTGCGTAGCCGCGCTCGCGCAGAAAGGGCAGAGACGGGTCGATGAGGGGCCGGCCACTCCCGGACAGATTGTGGAAGCCGAGGAGATGGCCCTCGCGGCTGTGGCAGATGGAGCCGCGGCGACGCGCGTCGCGGGAGTGGCTGAAGAAATCGGAGATGGTCTGCGGCGACCTCCTAACGACGCGGCGGTCGGAGCAGAGCGCGCGCCAGGACCTCGACACGCACTTGAGGCGGCAGAGCGACCTGTACGCCACCCGCGGCAGGACCATCTCCGCGAGGAGGTCGGCAGGGAGGCTCGCTGCAGGCCGCCGCTGTTTCCGCTTCCGCATCTTGTTCCTCCTCCTCTTGACCACCCCGCATCCGGCCTGCCGTAGATGGGCCAAGAACCGGAAGGGGCTCCTCCCGGCTCTCAGGAACGGCGGGGGCCGCTGCCGCAGACGGGGTGGGGAGATCGCCGGAGGGTGGTCCTGCTCCGTGCAGCCGTGGTCGGGACCTCCCCGCGGCATCGCCTCCTTGTTGGATCGACACGGGAATGGCGGCGGCCTATGGGTTGGAGAAACGGAAAGGGCGTGGGGAATTTGGAAACACGGCCGGGTGAGGACTGAGGAGGGCACCACACCAAGTAGAGTAGCAAAGTGAACAGACTCAATAGCACAAACAAAGTCCGAAAATACAAAGGTGAACATGGTTTCTTGCCCATCCACTGTCCTTTGGAAAGTACTCCCTCCGCCCCGAAATGTAAGACGTTTTTTTTATACTATGACAGTGTTAAAAAACATCTTATATTTTGGAATGGAGGGAGTACATATCAATTGAATGACACCCCCTACATTAGCTATTTTGTTCTTCTCATTATCCAGACAATAGAGATCCAAGAATTGAGTTTCCATAGGGGCATTCCCAAACCATATAACCTCCCCACACAATCTCAATGATCTACCATTTCCTATTCTCAAAGAAAAAGTCGGCCATTTCCTAGCCACTTATAACCAAACTGCACATCTCTCATGGCTCACATATCTCCTTCACAAAACTAAGAAGGATGTGTATCATGACAACACAGAATATTTGGATTTCTAGTATTATACTTAGAGTTAATAACCTTTCTCCACATTAGACCTTCCAACGCAACGTGTCTCCTGACCCAAGTTCCTACTAAGCAAATTTCGGGTCCTGGAAGTTTGTAATGACTAAGCCCCCAAAATCGTTTTTCATATAGATGGAAGGCCAATTCGTCTAGATGACTTCTACTACTCCCCTCATGATCAATCCATAGGCAATTAGCCATCTAGGAATTGAGAATTCTAATGGCACATTTAGGTAACTTAAAGAAATAAAACATATAGACTCGTATACTAGAAAGACATAACTCAATAAGAACTATCTTGGCTTTATGAGATAGAAGTTCACCCCTTCAGCCTCAAACTCTAGGTAACATCTTATGCACTATAGGTTGCAAATCCTCCGTCCTAAGCTTCTCAATGTGTAAAGGCGAAGCTTAATACTCCCTCCGTCCCAAAATAAGTGACTCAACTTTGTACTAACTTTAGTACAAAGTTAGTACAAATGCGAGTCACTTATTTTGGGACGGAGGGAGTATTTATTAGGAAACATCCCTCTGACACATTGAAAAATGTCAACGAAGGGGGTCACCTTATCACCCTCCATGTTAATGGACATCAACTCACTTTGATGGTAATTAATTTCATACCTGAAACTTGCTCAAAGCTGGTCTAAATAAACTTTAGGTTTAAAGCTAATATACCATCATCCAGCGAGAAAAGAAAAGTGTCATGAGCACACTGCAAACAAATCACCCCTCCAAGACCAAAGTTTTGGGTGGAGCCCTTTGACTAGCCCTGCTCTACTCCCTTTGACTAGCATCCCGGAGAAGACATATACAACTATGTTAAATTGAAGATGGGATAAGGGATCTCCTTGCCAAAGCCCCTTCCTTATAGTAAAGAGCTCAGTCTCCTTCCCATTAGACTAATCACAATGGAGAGTAACTTACACTAGTAACATACACGCTATTCTTGACTATGTTATTACCTCCGTAGTGGGTAGTAACATATGCATAGTGTCATGCAAAGCTTCATTTACTAGGTTATAGACTCATTTTATCCTGGTACGTGTGATGTTACTCATAGAATGAGTAACTAGCTAAGTTACTCAATTACCTTTCTCCTCATTAATTCATTGCCACATAGACAAATTTGCTAGATTGAACTCAATGTTACTTTTGAAGTTACTCCCATTATGGCCAATCTTAAGCTTTTCCAATAGAACCTTGTTAGGTGGCACTTACTCCAACGTATCCATTTATGTCCATAAGCTTTACACTGTAGCACTTCACATAAAAAAATATAGTTTAACTCTATTATATGCTTTCTCACACTCAACTTTAAAAACAAAGCATTTCTGCCTGGAAGAAAAGAAAAGAATGCACAGTGTTCCTCATAATATTGTGTCTTGAACTCTTGACGGAAAATAGAAAAGGGTGGGAAATGAGTATGCTTTGCGCGGATTTGATTATATATAGCTTGATTCATACATAATAACTTCATCTTACAAAAAATGATACAGATATTACAAACCTTGGTAAAGAAACACCAACACCCACACACATGTCTGACACACTGACCCCTGGCCCTCATAACAGTTATTCTGAACTCATTCTGCAGATACTGGAAAACAGGATAGGGAATGATAAAAGGCTAAACCAACCGTGCATGCGGCGATCATAAATAGCAACGTCACTCCGAGTACGAAACAACCGTGGGGATTTCAGTGCTGGGTGGGAGGGTGGCAGATCGGAGTCAGTGGTGTCCGTGGTATCCACCGCCGCCGCCGCTGCCGCCGTAGGTGGGCGTGGGAGGGACGGGGTGGTAGTCGGGGTGGGGCTGCGGCTTGGGCTCCGGCTTGGGCACGGGGCCATGGTCCGGGTGAGGCTGGGGCTTGGGCTCCGGCTTCGGTGGCACGGGCTTCTTGTGGTGGAAGTGTTCGATGATGTGCTTTTTGATCGGTCCGCACAATTTCATGGACGCGCACTCTGGCGATGCCTCGGACAGTGTGGCGGTGTTGTCACCGGCGATGATGCCGAAGGTGGTGCTCTCAGACACCGGCACGATCTTTGACGGCTCCTGGCCGGCGCACGGCACGTTGGAGGCGGCGCTGTGGAGCTGAGCGACGCAGTCGGCGCCATGGAGGTCAGAAGCGAGGGGCACGCTGAAGGCGCCGGTGCCGTCGATGGCACCCACGGCCTTGCTCTCGTAGTCACCGTGGACGTTCTTGCACTTGATCGCCACCTCAAGACCTGGTGTGCATTCATGGCAGAACAACAGTGAGCTAATTTCACTATGTGTGCATTGACATTTTACGACCGAATATCTAGCTAGCTTACCTTTGAAAGCTTCCTCGGCCTTCATGTTCTTCCTGGTGCAGTCGGTGCACTTGGCCAGGCCGACGACGACGGACGCCGCCTCGGCGTTGGCGACGGCGATCGCCAGAAGGACGGCGAGGACGAGCCCTCTCGTCGGAGCTGCCATGACTGAACCTCTGAATCGAACCCCACTACTTGCCTGTGTGAAGAAAGTAGCTATAGCAGCTCGATGGATGGATGGATGAATGGAACAGGCGAAGCATGGCTTATATAGGCATCCGCATTGAACGATACGATACAGCTCGTCGATGATCTGATCTGGCTGCAAGCGAAGAAGGATGGCCGGTGGAGTGAAATTCGCTAATTTGGGTTTGGCGCGCCGAAATTTCGGATGGCGAATTAAAACTCGCTTGATCCCAGAGTCCACTGCACGCATCGATCAACGATTTGATCCACGCACGTCGTTAGTCATTACTCGATCGGTTGGTGATCGACTTTGCATTGGCTGGTGGCAGATCGCATCGTTCGTAGGTTCCACGCCGTACATGATATGCATTGCATGCATCCAGCGCAAGTACGTGGCCTTTCTTAGGGAGCCTACATAAGTCAGAGCGTAATTGATTCTCCCGTCTTTCGTTTCCGCGAGTGCGGTGCGCCAGCCGGGCATTAATATACCAGTGCAATAAGAGGACGCGTTTGGTTGCCTGCATATAGACAAACCAAGCCCCAGTGGAAAGATTGTGGCCCGTTTGTTGCCTGCGTTCACTGGTGGGCTTGCATAGCACGAAACTCAAAGCATCTGTAGGCCTGTCTCGCTAGAAACACTCAGATCAACAGTTTCTAACGAGCCAGGCTTGCACGATGCACCTGTGCGTGCTTCAAACAATTTTGTCTTCTCCATATTACCATATCGCTAGAGCCAATAATTTTCTATGAGGAACTACGGAACTCAATCACTTGTTGCCGTTACTCAACAGTTTTCTGTTGAGTGGGCGGTGGGGACTGCACCCACGAAGCCAAGCTCGAGAAGCCGCGCGCTTTGCTTCCCGAAGCACGGTAGTTTACTGATAAGCATCCTTCAACGATCTACGGATTGTGTGGCCATCCATGACGGTTGGGGTACCCTCATTTGCACATGATTACTAATTTAATATGTTTAAGAGATTCAACTTGCTCCTTACCAATGATCAACTCTTGTGGCTCATGTTCTTCCATCTTTACCTCCGCAGGGACTTCTTATTCAGATGAACTATCTCCACCTTGATCCCACATTCGCCGGTCATGCTTGATCCCTTGTCCCAATGCATCGGGGGAAGTGTCTTCTAGCTCAAAAACCTCCTCATGAAAGGGGCTTTGATCCATGTGGCAAGCTTCCGCCGGCGGCAAGGCGATCAACCTCCTCTTGTGATGTTATTTGGCATTCGTTCCAGAGCGCGTGTCATGGCCTAAGAGATACTTGCCTTTGCTTACAATCTTAATATGCAACACGAATAGATTGGTTTGTCAATGGACAAAGGAGAGGCCTCCCAAACGTATATAAAGAAGTAAAACCGTTAGATATTCGAGAGATTAGGTTCTGGAAGAAGGTTAGGAAATAAACCAAAGATTTTCGAGAAAGAATCAACCACGCGATCAAAAGCGAAGACGCGACATGGTACAATCGGTTGCACTCATACCAACGGACCGTTGTGCCAGTGGCCTTTGGGCAATCGCCACCCTGGCCCACCCAGTACAAGGCACTGTACTACTTCACCACCTATCAGTACGGTCAACCCGGCACGCAGAAATCGCTGCAACACTCTGCTGCATCTTTCATCACCGGTCACCCTCCACCATACACTATCAACCTCAACAGCTATTATGTGTTCACCGAGTCGCCGACACTCGTCCGGTCATGGCTTCAGTCCAAGGAGCCTTTGTCCGGCGATGCCCAGTCATTGTTTGGCAAAATGCCCCCCCCCCCTTGCAAGCTCGATGGCGCAGGATAGGCGACGTGGCGAATGAACATGATCCATAATGGCGACGTCCACGAAGACGGACAAGTCTATGACAAGTACTCGTTGTATCCAGAGCAAGAGATGCCGACTGACACCTAGTAGTCGTTAGTGCCCGATGCGAACACAAGAAAAAGAAGGGCTGACGTACTCTAACAAGGAGGATAAATTATTGTGTTTGACGTGGTTAGGCACAAGTGTTGAACTTGTTGACGTATAAATGTATTGCCTAGTCTCTTCCATATAATCAGTCTTTTGGTTGCATTGGCTAGAGCATGTACTTCTACATGATATCAGGGTCAAGAGGTCTTGGGTTCAAGACCCAGCTGGCGCAATTAAATTGGAGCTCACTTTTGGTCCATGTTTAGGCCTGAAGGAGCCACATGTGATGGGGATTGTTGGTGTATAAATGTATTGTCTAGTCTCTTCCATAAGAATGGTCTTTTGGTTGCATTGGCTATAGCATGTACTCCTACAGAACTGATTCAAGGTATGGGGCAAAAAGGCTTGGCACTTTGGCAAAGTGTGCATGATAGGTTTCATGACAAAAAGCTAGACGAGCCCCGCAACAACGAAGTGATACAAAATCGCAATCTGAAGTCGCTAAACCGTCGATGGCACGCCATTCAAGAGGCCATCAACACGTATTGTGGTGCTATGCACAAATGGAAAACTGGTGACCAAGTGGTGCATCACTCCTTGAGCTCGTAAGTTTTGCTTTGTGATGCTCTATATCTTGGTTACCTGGTTGATTTTCTCTATGCTGCAACTTTTTGATCATGTCATTGTATTGCTTTGCTAGCCCAGCCACGTGGCCACGTTGTACCACACGACCTAGGGCAAGCCATTCATGATGATGCATTGCTGGTACAAATTGAATGCGCGAAGCAAGTGGAGCAGCATTACCAATTATATGAAGACCGCCAACGCCAAAGCAAGTGATGAAGTTGGTGATCCATGCGGTGCAGCTGGAGGAGGGCTTGCACCGGCACCCATGTATGGCTAGGTCGAGAGGAAGAAAATGGGAGAACGAGAAGAGAAGGGGCAGCGGTCAAGATGATGAAGAAGTTTGAGGACAACACGGCAAAGAAAGAGGAGGTATGTGCCAAGCGCAATGGGATCAAGGAGGAAATTGTTCATGGAAATCTAAAAGAAGGAGACTGAGATTAGGGATAGTAAGCTTGCGATCAAGCAAGCTTGCAAGGAGTAAAAGATCTTGTACGTGGAAACCAGGGCCGTACCGGGGAAATCGGAGGCCCAGTGCAAATCAAAATCAGGCCCTACGTGTGAAAAATAAATTCAAGGTGTAGTTTTCCACAAAAAGTTTACACCAGTTAGAAGCAGAAGGTTTAAAGGCATGTAGAAGCACGTACTTAATTTGCTTTTTTTTAGTTGTACCATGATGTTTTGGAAGAGCTGTGAGATTGAGAGAGAGCTGAGAGGAAATGATGGATCGTGATTAGAGAGATGCGTAGGGTGGGATGGTGTAAAATATTTCAAACAGCTCATTACTCTAGTACCTAATACTTTAGTTAACACGTTGATTAACAAAAAAATGGGGCCCCTCGGGTGCTGGGGGTCCTGTTCGGAAGCTCCTGTTGCACATGCCCATATACGGCCATGGTGGAAGCCGATGACTTGGATCCAGATGCGGTCAATTTTGTTCACAACTTGCGTGATAGCATGTACACATGCTTTGTGCTGTAGGAGGGGGAAAAGGAGGCCACAAATTGAGGCATTTGGTATGGGCAGCCGGTTCATTTGCTTTTGGGTTCGATAGATGTATAAAACAATTGAATACCCCGTGATTTTGCTATTGGTTGTATTTGTTTGCAACTATTTAAATGTATATGGTCGGATTGTTATTGATTTAGAAATTTTGACAAAGAGAGAAGTCCGAACATGTACTTAGGAGCATATTTGAAGGGCACAATTGGATGATGTTCACCGGGTCAGATGTCCGCGGACATTTGGTGTCGTCTCTTAAAGATACCCTAAGGCAGGCATCTTCTATATCTAAATAGGTAGCCCCCACTAACATATTTCTCTCAACATGCAAGCATGACACCTCATCATTCAACATGCATGGGAAAGGCCCACCTCAACATGCAACTATGCATATTAAAAATTCACTTCAACATGCAAACATGCATGCATGTAAAATTTCATTCTATTATGGTATTAAATTTAATTCTTATATAATTTTAGAAACTATTATTTCAAATATTTATGTTCCATTTAACCAAAATCTCACTAAAACACTGCAAAAATATTCTCGCAACAACGTGCGGGGCATCATCTAGTATGGGGAAAATGAGTGTACGTGGTTGATTCAGATATAGGAACTTCTCATTACAAAAATTCAATATTACAAACCTTGTAAAAACTGACCCATCACCTGTACATTTGCCTGACACACATACTTATCCCTCACAACTGTTATTCTGAATGATACTTCCTTCGTCCCAAAATTCTTGTTTTAAATTTGTCTAAATACGGATGTATCAAATCACGTTTTAGTATTAGATACATCCGCATCTAGACGAATCTAAGATAAGAATTTTAGGACGTAGGGGTATAATAAGACCAAGCTAACCCGCGCACATAAATAGCAACGTCACTCACTCCCTGATAGCAACAAGGCATGGAATTTCACTGTTGTGCCCGATGATGGTATATCGGAGTCAGTGGTGTCCGTGGTATCCCCCGCCGCCGCCGTAGGTAGGCGTGGGAGGGACGGGGTGGTAGTCTGGGTGGGGCTGCGGCTTGGGCTCCAGCTTGGGCACCGGGCCGTAGTCAGGGTGGGGCTGGGGCTTGGGCTCTGGCTTGGGTGGCACGGGCTTCTTGTGGTGGAAGTGCTCGATGATGTGCTTCTTGATTGGTCCGCATAGGGTCACGGATGCGCACTCTGGCGATGCCACCGTGTCCGTCTTGGCGCCGGCCACGACACCAAAGGTGGTGCCCTCGGACACCGGCACGATCTTGAATGGCTTCTGGCCGGAGCACGGTGCGTTGCAGGCCGCGCTGTGGAGCTGTGCGACGCAGTCGGCGCCATGGAGATCGGCGGCGAGGGGCACGCTGAAGGCGCCGGTGCCGTCGAGGGCACCCACCGCCTTGCTCTCGTACTCGCCGTCGATGTTCTTGCATTTGATCGCCACCTGGAGACCTGAAG